AAGATAGATCAGTAAGTAAGAAAGAAAGAAAGAAAGATTAGTTAGAAAGAAAGAAAGAAAGAAAGAAAGAAAGAAAGAAAGAAAGAAAGAAAGAAAGAAAGAAAGAAAGAAAGAAAGAAAGAAAGAAAGAAAGAAAGAAAAAAAAGAAAGATTAGTTAGAAAGAAAGAAAAATTAGTTAGAAAGAAAGAAAAGTTAGAAAGAAAGATAGATCAGTAAGAAGGAAAGAAAAAAAGAAAAAAGAAAGAAAGATTAGTTAGAAAGAAAGAAAGATTAGTAAGAAAGAAAGATGGATTAGTTAGAAAGATTAGAAAGAAAGAAAGAAAGAAAGATAGATTAGTTAGAAAGAAAGAAAGAAAGATAGATTAGTTAGAAAGAAAGAAAGATAGATTAGTTAGAAAGAAAGAAAGATTAGTTAGACAGAAAGAAAGATCAGTAAGAAAGAAAGAAAGAGATTAGTTGGAAAGAAAGAAAGATTAGTCAGAAAGAAAGAAAGAAAGATGGATTAGTCAGAAAGAAAGAAGGATTGATTATTTAGAAAGAAAGATAGATCAGTAAGAAAGAAAGAAAGACAGAAAGAAAGAAAGAAAAAAGAAAGATTAGAAAGAAAGAAATATTAGTTAGAAAGAAAAAAGAAAGAAAGAAAGATGGATTAGTTAGAAAGATTAAAAAGAAAGAAAGAAAGAAAGATTAGCTAGAAAGAAAGAAAGATAGATTAGTTAGAAAGAAAAAAGATAGATTAGTTAGAAAGAAAGATAGATCAGTAAGTAAGAAAGAAAGAAAGAGATTAGTTGGAAAGAAAGAAAGAAAGATTAGTTAGAAAGAAAGAAAGAAAGAAAGAAAGAAAGAAAGAAAGAAAGAAAGAAAGAAAGAAAGAAAGAAAGAAAGAAAGAAAGAAAGAAAGAAAGAAAGAAAGATTAGTTAGAAAGAAAGATGGATTAGTCAGAAAGAAAAAGATGCATTAGTCAGAAAGAAAGAAGGATTGATTAGTTAGAAAGAAAGAAAGAAAGAAAGAAAGAAAGAAAGAAAGAAAGAAAGAAAGAAAGAAAGAAAGAAAGAAAGAAAGAAAGAAAGAAAGAAAGATTAGTTAGAAAGAAAGATGGATTAGTCAGAAAGAAAAAGATGGATTAGTCAGAAAGAAAGAAGGATTGATTAGTTGGAAAGAAAAAAGAAAGAAAGATTAGTTAGAAAGAAAGAAAGATTAGTTAGAAAGAAAGAAATATAGATGGATTAGTTAGAAAGAAAGAAAGATTAGTTAGAAAGAAAGATAGATTAGTTAGAAAGAAAAAAAGAAATATTAGTTAGAAAGAAAGATAGATTAGTTAGAAAGAAAGAAAGAAAGATAGATTAGTTAGAAAGAAAGAAAGATAGATTAGTTAGAAAGAAAGAAAGATAGATTAGCTGGAAAGAAAGAAAGATAGATTAGCTGGAAAGAAAGAAAGATAGATTAGTTAGAAAGAAAGAAAGATTTGTTAGAAAGAAAGATAGATTAGTTAGAAAGAAAGAAAGAACAAAAGAAAGATTAGTAAGAAAGAAAGAAATATTAGTTAGAAAGAAAGATAGATTAGTTAGAAAGAAAGAAAGATAGATTAGTTGGAAAGAAAGAAAGAGATTCGTTAGAAAGAAAGATAGATTAGTTAGAAAGAAAGATAGATTTGTTAGAGAGAAAGAATGATTAGTTAGAAAGAAAGAAAGATTAGTTAGAAAGAATAAAAAGATAGATAGATTAGTTAGAAAGAGATAGATAGATAGATAGATAGATAGATAGATAGATAGATAGATAGATAGATAGATAGATAGATAGATAGATAGATAGATAGATAGATAGAGAGTTAGAGAGATAGAGAGTTAGAGAGATAGAGAGTTAGATAGATAGTTAGAAAGAGATAGATAGATAGAGAGATAGAAAGAGAGAGTTAGAAAGAGAGAGTTAGATAGAGATAGATAGATAGATAGATAGATAGATAGATAGATAGATAGATAGATAGATAGATAGATAGATAGATAGATAGAGAGTTAGAAAGAGATAGAAAGAGAGAGTTAGAAAGAGATAGAAAGAGAGAGTTAGAAAGAGAGAGTTAGAAAGAGATAGATAGATAGATAGATAGATAGATAGATAGATAGATAGATAGATAGATAGATAGATAGATAGATAGATAGAAAGAGAGAGTTAGAAAGAGAGAGTTAGATAGATAGATAGATAGATAGATAGATAGATAGATAGATAGATAGATAGATAGATAGATAGATAGATAGATAGATAGATAGATAGATAGATAGATAGATAAGTTCATTAGGACATACAGAAAGATAAGTTCATTAGGACATACAGAATGGCAGTTTGGCAGTTTGATTGAGTCTAGGGCTTCAAGGTGTTTAGATTTGAATTTTTGAATTTTTGGCAGTTGGTCAGTTTGAAAATCTGAACATTCCGCAATGTTAAGTCAATGGGATTTTCAAATGATTTTTTCCGAGTTTTGATCGTCATTTTTAGGAAAACCGTAAGTCCGATCAGTTAGAAAAGATATAGCAACGCGAGTCAGAACAGTTTGAGTGTCCGTGCCGAGTTTGGAGTATGTGGAGTTAAAGCTCTAGGAGGAGTTAGAGTTGTACATTTTTTGAGTAAGAAAAAGAAGAATAATAATAAGTTTAAATAGCATTTCAGTAAGTTGGCTCTCACAAGCCAACTTAACTAGTCATTTAGTAATAGTAGTAATTTACACATGAATTTGCACTAACAATGAAGTAATTAATCATGTATTAATGCATATTAGTGTACCTGTATTATCTCGAAGTTGAAATACAAGACTTTGGCTCAATCTGGTAATTAACATATTAATTAACACTATTAGTTAAAAAAATGAGTTATTAGGGAATTAATTCATCATTACATATTTAATTAATAACAATTCATGTATGAACTAATACATTAACCATACAGACTCTTAATTAGTTCCTAATGTGGTAATCATTAATTAATAGCTTAGATAATCATTAGTTACACATTAATTCAGTATTATCTGTGCATTAGTTAAGCATGAATTAATGCTTATTAGTGCACCCGTATTGTAAAGTGTTACCAAAAATATCTAAGAAATACAAAAATATTATTTTATCTTTCTGTCAGAAAATTGTAAAAGGGAAAGTACAGGAGGTATTCAAATGGGTTCTTATAAATCTAATCATATAAACAGAATATGGAACATGGATCAAAATAAATTTAGGTTACACGAATTTTAAGGAGTCCTTGTTATAGTACTTATACAATTAGGTACTGAGTAATATTAATCAATATCATCTACTTACTATGTACTAATATGTACTTATAGGGTATGTTGCATGTAATTATGCATTAGTTATACTATAATAAGTACATGTAATATGCCAAACATTGTAAAATAAAGTGTTACCAAAATGTACACTGGTTCAGACATAAACAAGTGGATTACAACAATTCTGTTTTAAAAGTTTTAAAGGGCAACATACAAACAACATTTCTCACTTTAAAGGCAAGTTTTCTGCAGTGCACTACTCATCAGTTAATAGCTTAATCAAGGAATAAGGTACTTTCTTATGCTGGTCCAGGACCAGCTCTAACACAAGAATCCTAGTTTAAGCATTAGAAATAAAACTGATCAGGAACGAAAACCTCTAAGATAAACAGAACCTGGTTATGGTAGATTTGCTCTGAGCCCCACCTGCTGGACAACAGGCTGCAACTGTCATCCAGAAAATCAGTAGTTCAGTAACAAACAGATCCTTGTGAAATTCAGATCCTTTACCATTCATTACCTTTAAGTTTAAATACTAGTTATACATAATGGTATGGTATAACTGATGTGTTCTCACATTTCTGACCAAGATGGTTGAAAAAAAACTTCAGTCAATTGTGAAATTAAAAATTGTATCAGAATCTTTAAATAGGCCTATAATCATTTGCTTTCTTTTGTGTTTCATTGGTCTTTAAGCCTAATCTTATATCCTATGTAAAAATGTCCAATGATGGAAAATTGTAACACTGACATCTACAAGATGAAATAAACCAAACTTTATATGTTCAAGAACGTTTGTGTTCCCTTTTTAGTTAGGCCTAGTGTCCTTTGCGTCTCAAGATTTTGATGGAGAATATAGCAATGAAGCTTGCTAGAAAACACTTCTAATTTAGCCTGTATAAGAGTTGTTGTAAGACCTTTTTTTTTTGTTTTTGTAAATGATAAAATACATAAATAGCATAACAGTCCACAACAATATTCGAAAGTCCCATCACTTTTCCCGTTGTTTGTGATTTAGTGAATAGGGCTTAAGGATAAGGATTTTAAAAATATGTTAAAATAAGATATACCTTGTTTTGTTTTTGTTGTTGTTTTGATTTTAATGCCTCCTTTGTCTTATTTAAAATCATTTTTAACTCATCGTGAGGGCCCCTTAGAAGTCTGCTGAGGCCCTAGTGAGCCCATATGACCCCTGGTTGAGAACCACTGGCATTAACTACTGCTAATGCGCAGCCTTTGCACTTCATTTTGTTTGCCTTGGTTCTAAAATGCTTCTTGGCAAGTAAACAGCACACCGAAATCAATGAAAGTCACATGAACTTCTTCCCAGGAGAACTTAAAAACACAGCAGCCCAAATAAACGGTCAAAGAGAGCGTGGGAATTGGTCAAAATTAAAACTAAACGGGTGTTTTGTCGAAGAAAAAAGTTAACATTATAACTAACATTATAAGTGGACCCCTGAGGGGGAAAAAATATAAATAATTATCATATGACCCCTTTAACCCAGACTGTGTCACGTGACCCGAAATTCTCCGGACTGGCCAGGATGAGCGAAGCCAGAAAATGGCGGATTTTGAGGAGTTACGGGTAGGCGAAAGTGCAATGATAGCTGGTTACTTCTTTGCGTTTTTCATATTCTGAAGATATTTTGCAGTTAAAGTTACCGTTTTGATATGCTATTTAACCGGTCGGTTTGCTGCCCATGGGTTAGTTTCTTTATAGTTAATAGAGAGACGTCACATCAGTCCGTTAGACGGATTGTGTTTAGCTTGTTAGCCACCAACCAGCTAACGTACTCTCTTAGCTCTCGAGCTGCTACACAAACATTGAAGAACAGCCTCAAAATGTCACTGCTTTCATTACCATCTTTTACTGCATGAAAACGCTTTATTATAATGCCTAACTGAACTTGACGACTGTTCGCTGCAGGTAAAAAGTTTTTTACGTTACAATTTCTCGAATTGTTTTGGTTGGTCTTTTGTTAGCTAGCTTCCGAGCAATTGAAAATGTCTACATGTACTCACAGGTGTAGTTTGATGTATAACCTGTATTTGCATGGGTAAATGATGTGTAGACCAGTGTGTATAAATGTAAGTGGACGCACGTTTTACATTAAATTGCGATGTAACGTTAAACATTAAAGAGGGACACATTGACAATGTTGTTTACAAGCCTGAAGCAAAACTTGATTTTTGTCACTGTGACCGTTTAATCACCACATCTGTCTCAAGAGAATTATTTTTTACAGGCATTGTACATAAACCATCTTTCTAAAGTTTAATTTAATGCGTTGTACTGCAGCATGAGCGCCAACACAACCCTGCAATAACAAATGTAGACTGTGTGTTGGATACAGGAAAGTTAGAGACCTGCTTTTGTGTACTAATTATATTGCCATTATTTGACTGATTCATGTTGTTTTGTAAGTTGTTCAGAAACATCCCACATAACTATAAACCCAGCTTTTTTTTCAGCAGTTCAGTTAGTTTCTCTCTGGATCAAAGTGAACATCTGTTTTGTCCTTTGTTATGCTCTTGATGTTCATCTAATGGGTCTTGGAATTATTCTCAACATTTTAGATGCATTTCGGTCATTTGTTAAGGATTTTTAAAGAAAAAAGGATTAACACATAAGAACAATCAAGCATGGACCATGTAATGAAGGGTCAGTTGAGATTTTCTTATTTTTCTGGGGTTTCTGGAATGGGTGTATTTGGGTGGGTTGTCACCTCACTTTACACATAATTCTGAAATAAATTAATTAATCTGCTTACAAATTACATATTTTGGTTCTTATTAATATATTATTATATATGCAAAACATGGCAAACTTGTCAGCATGGCACAGCTCGGGTGTTTTTTCTTACTAACTTGTGTGGCAAAAAAGAATTAGCTTGATCAGCCCATATGCTTTTCCATGTTTGCCATCTCAAAGTCTTTTATGGATTGTCTGGATTTGTTTTGCAGAATATGGTATCAAGTTTCCGTGTCTCAGAGCTCCAGGTACTGTTAGGTTTTGCTGGAAGGAATAAGAGCGGTCGCAAGCATGAACTATTGCTGAGGGCTTTGCATCTACTAAGGAGTGGTTGTGGTCCTGCCGTGCAGATCAAAATAAAGGAACTGTATTGTCGGAGATACCCAAGGACTTTTGATGGTCTGCAAGATTTGGCGGCTCTAAAGTCAAGCATTAAATCCTACTTTCACATAGACAGTGACGCCACAATTGTGAGCTCAGACCTTCCTCTGCAAACCGGCCATTCAGACCTCCTGCAGCAGCAGCAGATGAGCTGCGATTCACCTGTTTTACATGAATTAAAGCCCATGATGAATATGCAGCAGCCCACGTCGCTCATGGCTCCGGTCCACCCGGACGTGCAGATGAAGGCCCTACCGTTTTACGATGTGCTGGATGTCTTGATCAAACCATCAAGTTTAGGTAATTTTCTACAAAATGTCTAGATTGTTCCATGCTTGGTAAAAAAATAAATTACCGGTAATAAACTTTTGATTAGAGTGTGGAATACAGCTTTATAGAGATAAATGCATTGCACATTTAATATATTTATAGCCTTGAACTTAAATGAAAAATAGTGTTAGAGTTTGTGTAATAGTGTGATTTAGGCACACTAACATTGAGAAGTTTGGGGTCAAAATGTTTTTTTTTTCTTGTTTTTTTTTAAAAGAAATTAACTTATTCAGCAAGAATGCATTCATGCATTGATCAAAAGTAAAGACATTTAGCCTGCTACAAAGAAATTTTATTTTAAATAAGAAAACTTTCTATTCATCAAAGAATCCTGAAAAATGTATCACCGTTTCCATAGAAATATTAAGCAGCGCAACTGTTTTCAACATTGATAATAATAATAATCAATGTTTCTTGAGCAGCAAATCAGCATATTAGAAGGATTTATGATGGATCATGTGACACCGAAGACTGGAGTAATGATGCATTTTAAATATATTTAAAAATGTAGTAATATTTTACAAAATTGCTGTTTTACTGTATTTTTGATCAGCATAAAATACCTCTTCAAAAAACATAGAATCTTACCGACCCCTACCTTTTGAACGGTACTGTATGTGAACTAATTGCTATCCCATCAGCTGGGTTGTGCATGATTTCCTCATTGCATTAGGTTTAAAACTATACACCCTATGACTTGTGTTTTAAAGGGACCCATGCCGTTCAGAGGTTTCATCATGAGAAGTACTTCATATTTGCATTGACTCCACAACAAGTGAGAGAAGTTTGCATTTCTCGGTAAGAACTAAATGACTTAAATGCGACTTAATGTGACTTGTCTTTTACTCCTTTTCTGAAATTTATTGGTTCTTTGTTGTTCTTAACCTTTTGCATAGGGACTTTCTTCCAGGTGGAAGAAGGGACTACATGGTTCAAATTCAGCTGCGGTAAGAACGAACTCAGTATGCTTTTCCTATACTGTCATTTGTTTATCAGATTCTGGAGTATGTACAAAGATGTTTGTCACCATAATCTCAATTAGGGATGCACGATTTTTTCGGCCAATATGAATTAAGTATGCCGATATGTCTTGCCAATATGATAACGTGTTGATATGCGCCTGCAATAACTCACGTGTGCAAGGAGTGCTAGTGATAAGATCATTCACGTCAGCTGTGTGGTCATTCTTGAAGTGAATTTTTGCATGTGGTGATTTATAATATTCACTGTTTTCGATTGCTGTCTTGAATTTGTGAATACGAGAACAGAAGGATGCGATACCTGCAATAGACTCTCTACTCTCTAGCATGTGCAGAAGCCTCCCCTGGTAGAATGTTATATTTATTTAGTGGGGGTCCTGTTGTTATACTAATAAAATGAAAAGTAGAAAACACAAATAAGTTACTTCTGTTTCTGGATAAATAAATCAGTAATTGATGTCATAAATCACAAGCATGAGACTTGTAAATTAAATAATTTTATACACAGTTTAATCTGTAATAAAATTTTATCAAATGGGTGGTGAAAATAACTTGAATCCAAAGAGCTCTAAAATAATTGTAGAGTTTTTATTTGAAGCTGAAGAGAGCATTAACTGAAGTCATGCCACCCGCACTCTTGATACACTCTACAAATGTTAAATACAAAAATGAAATATTTAGGTTACAAATGCTTCTGTCTGGGGGGAAAAACGTAACAGACTTTATTATTGTTATTTTCAGAGCTTTTAATGTACTCTTATTATAAAAATAACTTTATTAACATTTATTTATCTTTAACAAGTAACCTTCTGGTAAGGAGACCTCAGAACTCAAAAAACAGAATTAAAAAGGGAAAAATAATTGTATATCGTATCGGCTATCGGCCAAAATCCAATTGGTGCATCCCTAATCTCAATTTTAAACTCTTGATGTTCTGTTTTGATTCTAGGTTTTGTCTAGCAGAGACCAGTTGTCCACAAGAGGACAATTATCCAAACAGCCTGTGCATCAAAGTCAATGGAAAGCTCTTTCCCCTCCCTGTATGTAGACCCGTTTAATGTGTTTTCCAAAACTAGTTCTTAAAAATGTATATGAATTATAGAGGTCTTGAGGCATTTTAAATGTGTAACTCTTTCTAATTTAGTCACCGTGAAATCAAATCTTATTTTTTTATGGAATATTGCAGTCTTTACTATGATTTATCCATGCACATCATTTTTTTTATGTTCCTTCGTAATCTTTAATCAAAATAACTTCCCTTTCCTCTTGCAACAAACTCTCTTCTCTAATGATGTGTTTTCTGGCATTAGGGTGGGACAACCTGTCACTCACATGAGATCACAGGAATAGCAAACCACAACCATTCAATCAATTCCTGATAGACAAAATCAAGTCCTGCCCTACATTTTTTCTTGTTCGAGGAGCTGTTTTACTCTGATATGCATCATATTAGGGAAGAAAAGACTATCTGAACTTCCGTTTCATGCCAACTTTAAGTTAATGAAATAACTAAGTTAATGCAAGCTTAATCCAAGAACGTGGTGCAATTTAATAAGGTAACAGATATTCAACAAATAAAATATTGAATACAATTGTCGTAGTCCACCACCAAAAACAAAAATGCTGATTACTGATGAAATGCATAATTTGTTATTTGAACAGGAACATTGCTCATAGAAAATGTAAAAGATGACCGTAATACTGTACATCTTATTTAAACAATGTTTTAATGGCTGTTTAAGTGACATGACGTTAAGGCCAAGTGTGGCAACCCAGACTCAGAATTTGTCCTATGCATATAACCCATCCAAGTTACCGCACACATATTAGGAGCAGTGAGTAGTGAACACGCACACACACTGCAAACATTGAACGGACACACCCGGGGCAGCCATTTTGCTGCGGTGCCCGGGGAGCGATTGGAGATCGAACCTGCAACCTTCGGGTTACCCATTCGGCCACGACTATAACCCCAAAGCGGAGAACATGCATGCATATTAAAAGCCTCTGTGAAATGTATCTATCTAGATACACTTCAGCCTAATGAGTTTGTGCTCAAGAAACCGTTATTGCTATCAATGGTGAAAACAGATGCGCTGCTTAATATTTTTTCGAAAACCATGATTTATTTATTTTTCAGGATTCTTTGATTAATAGAAAGTTTTAGGGTTTTTTTGCATTTATTTGAAGTATAAATCTTTTGTAAGAATTTAACATTTTTTACTGTCATCCTTGCTGAATAAGTGTTTATTTCTTTTATTTTAAATCTTGCTGAACTCAAACTGTACATTTGTATAATTGCTGATATGATGTGGTTATCACACAGGGATATGCACCACCTCCTAAGAATGGTGTAGAGCAGAAAAGACCCGGCAGACCGCTGAACATCACATCGCTGGTCAGGTTGTCATCTGCTGTACCCAATCAGATAGTAGTCACATGGGCACCTGAAATAGGGAAGGTATGTAAAGTGCCAATACACATTGCCACAGCACTGCTTCAGCCATTTCTTTATGCTAAGCGTTGTATGTACTTCCATCTTGTTTTCTGCAGACATACTCCATGTCTGTTTATTTGGTGCGGCAGCTGACCTCCCCACTGTTACTACAGAGATTAAGAATGAAGGGGATCAGAAACCCTGACCACTCCAGAGCATTAAGTAAGGCAACATTTCCCTCTTTGAGAAAAAAGATACCCATGTAATCTAAATTATAAATATGATCACACTTGACAAATTTGTGTTCATTGTCTTTCTTTGTCAATCCTTATATATAATTTATTGACTGAATTATTGAAATTATGTACTAAATCCACCCCTTCTTTACTCTTGTAACAGTTAAAGAAAAACTCACGGCAGACCCTGACAGTGAAATCGCCACAACTAGTTTACGAGTCTCACTCATGTGCCCAGTAAGTTACTGCATCTACAAGATCTTAACTGACTCATGTATGTCATTTTAAACAACAGGTTTAAGTTTTTGTTTGGTCTTCTGATTTAGTATGGCAAAAAAAAAAAAAAATTGTGACCAAATAAGTCGTCTTTTTATATAGCTTGGCAAGATGCGCCTTACGGTACCCTGTCGAGCTGTCACCTGTTCCCACCTGCAGTGCTTCGATGCTGCTCTATACCTGCAAATGAATGAGAAGAAGCCCACCTGGATCTGTCCCGTCTGTGACAAAAAAGCCACATATGAGAGTCTGATTATAGATGGGTGAGATTACTTTCACTGTAGCTGAGGTGCCATTTTAAACCACAATCCTTAAATATTTTTGGCTTTATTGAGATAGTAAATATGCATCGAGTAAACTGGGCACTCTCTACTTGTCAGGCTCTTCATGGAAATACTCAATGACTGCACAGATGTTGATGAAATCAAGTTTCAGGAGGATGGGACTTGGTGTCCAATGAGACCAAAGAAGGAGACGTTAAAAGTGTCATCTCCATGTATCCCAAAAATTGATTGTAAGGTTCATTACCGTTAATAAGTGTGTGAGCTTTATCTCTGTGTACCAGGTTTTAATTGATTGTAAATAGGATTTCCATTTTTTTTATGCATTTTGAAAGTATTTCATGGCCCCTTAGGTGCTGTCACAGTGAGACAAAGTGCAGTGGTGCCACCTCCAGAAACCAGCAGTACAAAAAAGGCAGACGTAATTGACCTTACGCTAGAAAGCTCGTCTGATGATGATGATGATGATGATGAGGACAGCGATCCTCCTCTGAAAAAGCGCTGTGTTTACATGTCAAAGGCTGAGGAGATGCACAGCAAAGGGTTTGTGTTCATTCATTTAATACAAATTAGACCAGGCATTTCTGTGTACCTCTTTTATAAGCCTTGCCCTTTTGTGACCATATTTTAAATGAGCCCTGAACTGTACAAAAAACGCAGAATTGTCGATAATACCTCAAAATTAGGGAGTTTTAAAAATGTTGTTTTCTAGACCTGGGCACATGTAAGTTGATAATCTTAAAAAAAAGAATGGAAAGTTATTTTATTTATTTATTTTGCTCTCTAAAATGTTTATTAGCCAGAAATATTATTATTATTATTATGGTAACACTTTACAATATGGTCTCATTTGTTAACATTAGTGTATTATTATGTATTATACTACAATGAGCAATACATTTGTTACAGTATTTATTAATCTTTGTTAATGTTAGTTAATAGAAATCCAGCTGTTTTTTCATGTTAGTTCACAGTGCATTAACTAACATTAACAAATACTAACGTTTCTCTATGATAATGATGCTTTGTGTTTATTGGTTTTCCTATGATCCTATTTTCATGTGTTAGGGTCTTGACTTATCAGCCATCAACTGTCCGGGTGCCAAATGTCCAGGCGCTGGACACCTCATACCTGACCTCCTCAATCGCAGACTACTCGGTTCCATTCCACCATTCAACCTTATCCACTATTCCCACAGATATGCAAAGTATGCACTTATCCAGTCTGCCGTCCAATCAAATATGCTTTAATTTATGCTCAAGCTTTTACAGGAATACTAACATGTCAAACTACACACATTTTTCCCAAAGGTCTTGATTTATTTTCTCTGATTCAAGGGGACCCCCAGGTATGAGTGAAACATTCTTACAAAGAAATATTAAAATTCCATGCATGCATACATATTTATATAGTCTGCACTGCTGTTTACCTCTAGTTTCCTTTATTGTTCTTTCAGCAACATTACAGAGGCCCCATATTTTTAGACAATCTCTCCAGCAGCCTTCAGAGTGCCACCACCAGCGCCAGCCTGGTCTCCTCATCCTCACAGTACGAGACGGCAACCCATAGCAGCAGCTCGAGTCATGAGACGGGTGTGATCACGGGAGGATCTTCAGGCCTATCAGACATTATCTCTCTAGACTGACTCCTAGTGCATCTTTATTGGCCAGTCACCAAAACAACTACACTCAAGTCAGCTGAGTAAAAACTATTTTGACATTTGACTATGGACCTCAATAATCTTGTTTCGACAAGGACCCAGAAGGACTGCTATGAAAATATCTTGAGTGGGGTCAAACCTGAATTAAGCCGTTTTCCCTCGAATTGGGGAAACTATCGGTTGCACAATAGCTCTTTCATTAGCTATTTCATTGGAGGAGCAGAGCAAAACAAACTGCATAAATGAGTGGACTGGAAAGCTCAGACACTTCCAATAACTGCACTCTTGTCTCCATTGTGTGTTGCTTCAGCAGTTCTGCAGTTGAAACGAAAGCAGGTTTTCAGCGGCAGCTCACTTTTTATGTCTCTTCGATTTCAGCAGTGTAATTATGTTTTGTAACAAGACTTCAGTTGCAGCAATAAAAACTGTTTGTTGTATATTTCAACATTTAGTGGTCTGATATCAAGGTAGAATGAGTCAACAGATTTTTTTTTTGATTTTTTTTATTTGTGGTTATTAGCTCAAGGGCCATCAGATTCCCTGTTGCTGATGCTGTAAACCTATTTTTGATTTGTAATTTTATATGGAAGTTGTTTTTACTATCTTAACACATCTAACATATTCGCCTCAGAAACTATAATATCATTGTTGATCAAACTAAGGGAGTAATCTGTCTAATTGCATGGTTCTTGGTCATTATAAAACCAGCAACTGCATGAAATGAAAATGAGGCCATTCATTGTTCTTTTAAGATTATGGATCAAAGTTTTGATATAATAGGATAACGATCATGAAATACAAAAATTGGTCTTTTAGAAATTGGCGTTTATTGCTAATGGCTTACTTGATAGATGAGCAGTTTGAAGTCATCTTATATGGGCTGACTTATGATTATGAGCCATACAACATGCATTCATTTTGATGACAGTCTGAAGGTGTGTGATTTTTGTTTGTTTTTGTTTTATAGAAGTTCCTCCTTGTTACTTGTGTACTATTTTGATTCAAAGATGCCCATATATTTTGATGTAAAAAACAAAACAAACAAAAAAACAATGATGTGCTGTAAATGTTGATACAGTGCTTTTATTGTCCCTCTCGATCAGGGCTGAGGGTTTTAATCGACATAGCTCTCCATTGATGATGGCAAAGGTAAAGCTGTTGAGAATCTTGAATTCTTAGCACAAAGGAGGGTACAGTTTAAGATGATACATGTACATCCTAAGACATGTAATTCAATACACAGTGATTAAAGCATTTTCATGTTCATCTGGAAAAATATATTTTTCAAGTTGAAATATTATGTCCAGATTGCTGTTGTATTTGCTGTCCTTTATGTATGGACACATCCACACAAGTTTAACTTGCTCAGATTTTATTTTCTGCAAGATTGTGCAGCTTTGAATATTTAAATTAAGTAATATTTAAATTGTATTTCAATTTAAGTCTATTTATTTGTGTAAACATTATGCCATACACTTCAGAGTCATCACGTTAACATGGTAAGGTTAATAGCTTCAATCACTAATATAGAATCCAGAGATGTTTATAGTTTGTCCAGGAAGTTGTCCAGCGGTGGGATGCCCTCCTTCAGACCTTTGCGTTTACGGGTCTCAGCCACCACTTGGCAAGGTTTGCTGTTTATGTCATAGGGGTCACCTGGCAAAATCTGCCAGTGGTCAAACACACATTGAGGGAAGGCCTGTCCACCAGTGTTAGACCTCAGGTCTGCTGTAAAACCTGTTCGGAAAAAAATGCAAGCGAATTATAGGCACTAAGGTACTGAGGACTTGTGTTAATGTCCACAATATAATAATTCAGAAATGTATAACATTTGGCACCATTCAAAAATGTTTAACTGCTATAACTAATGTATTTATTGTTGAATATAAAAATTACATCAATGTCCTATTGCTGTCATTTTGAACAAGCTGTCAAATCTGAAGTGTTAACTCACCAAATGATTCATTTACAGGTAGGTATGCCTTCACCACAAATATAGGTGTCCCAGCTACTTGGGACTCCTCAAATACATGGCCTCTTTTTCTGTTCAGTACACCGTAGATGCCACCAACAACCTGCTCTGGGCACTGGAGGGGAAAAGAAAATACATTAACGGCATCAAGATTGCACTCTCGTTTTTCTGTTCCAGGAATCCACCATGTATACCTGAATCTCGACCAGGTAAATGGGCTCCATGAGTCTTGGCTGTGCAGTAAGCACAGAGGCATACAGAACTCTTCGGGCTGTCGGAATGATCTGACCGCCACCTCTATGGATGGCATCAGCGTGAAGAGTAACGTCATGAATGTCAAACCGGACTGCCCGCATGTTCTCTTCACAGAGTGCACCCTGGTAAGGTAACACAAAATTGTTTCTGTTGAAGTATCTCATTATGATAATGTAAATGGTATGAATGTCCAAGCATGAATTGACTTGACTCACTTCTTTTGTTGCCCACTGGAAACCAGCCACTACACTGTCCTTTATCTCATTCAGATACTGAACTCCCTTTGTCACATCCACAAGGACGTTGGGCCCTGTGCCATCTGGTCCAAAGCACCAAATCTTACGGGCCTCGCCCACTTCCCACTCATATTTCTCAGACAGGTAGCGAGCTCTCTGTTTGAGCTCCTGCCGAGAGGTCACGTCACCCTTATCGATGTCCTCGGCCAAGCCATCTGGGAAGGGCTTGGATTTCATGTACAGACGATTGTGCTTGTTGGGAGACTTGGACAAGCAAACTTGGTCTGATTCTTCACTGACTGTTTCACGATATGACACAACTGGGTCTGATTTCTGCAACAAAAATTACTAGTGGATTAGAATAGAAACTATTAGCGGAGAATAGAATAAAACATATCTGTTGTATACTCTTTAGTATCCTCATCCTAGCGCTACCTTCAGAGGGATGCCGGCATGATCTTCCTCAAGATCTTTTAGGCAAATCTCCAGATGAAGCTCTCCAGCTCCTGCCACAATGTGCTCACCGGACTCTTCAATGATACACTAGCAAAAGGTGGAAAACAACTTGTATTTATTATTGGAAAGACTGAATTCTGTTTATACCGTCTTATTACCCCACCAAGATATTCACCTGAACCATGGGATCAGACTTGGCGAGACGTTTGAGACCCTCCACCAACTTTGGCAGATCTGCTGGGTTCTTGGCCTCCACAGCAACTCTCACCACAGGACTAACGCTGAACTTCATAACACGCATGTTGTGAGCATGTTCAAAAGTGCTAATGGTGCCAGTTTTGACCAGGAACTGATCAACCCCAACCAAACCAGCAATGTTCCCGCATGGCACATCTTCAATGGGCTCTACATAGCGACCCATCATTAGGATAGTTCTGGGGAGACCATTGAGTAATGATCATCAAATCGAATCAAGTGAAGATGACATACTGTAAATGCAATTGAGAGCAGCAAACCTTTGGATTGGCTTTATGTACAAGTCCTCCTTCTTTCCTGGTGTGAAGTTCGGGCCCATGATGCGCACCTTCTGCCCTGTAGAAACAACACCAGAGAAGACACGACCAAAGGCATAGAATCTACCCTTGTCAGTGGTTGGCACCATCTTGGAGATGTACATCATGAGAGGAGCTTTAGGATCGCAGTTCTTCACACCTTGAAAGTCAAAGGAGGAATATGTGAAAGTTGTAGAAAAAAAGCACATCTCTCTGAAGTGTAGAACACCTTGCAATGTAGTGACAGTGGCGGATTTAGCAAATTGGGGGCCCAAGGCAAAGGTAGTATGGGGCCCCCCATCCGATCTTTAAAAGAGAACAAAAAAAAAAAATTCTGATTTTTTTTTTTTTTTATAAACTATTACATGGCACTTTCTGGAGAGTTTTGTGCAAAGAAATATAGGAAAAAAGTAGGTCTAGCAAGTCTTATATTTCTGTAATTCACAGAGATCAAACACAAACATGCTGACTGAATAGATTGCTAGTTGAGAAACACTGCTTTAATTAATGTTTTTATGATGACTTTGTGAAAGGTTAACTAAACAGCATGAGCCGTCTTCCTGCTGGCCAGTAAGTTATTTGGCAAATTTCATTCATACAGATCTGTATTATGCTATAGTTTTTGATAGTGTTATACATTTCTTACAGATAATCACGATGATCATTGCGTTTGTCTTACCGAATGTGGTAGCTTTATGCAATTACATTTTGTCTATAAGCTTTTTTTTTTATTAATGCCGACAGTAAAATGTTGCCAGATATTGCTACGAAAAACAAGAAAACAAAATAATAATAATCCGAAATAAGTTCAAAGCTTGTGTTTTGGAAATAAGATTAATATATCACTAACCCTCACATGCAACTTTCCACTTTAATAACTTCCTAAAGTGTCACATTAAATCAGAAAAACAGGTCCAGAAGACTACTGCCTCCTTTCCATTAGGTGGATCTGGCAACACAGAGGCTGCACGCGCGCCCTCACTCACAGCGCGCTCTCAAGCCCCGTTCACTGCGCTAGCTTCTCGCAGCAACATGAATTGCAAACACTCATATGAGGTGGTTTAAACGGCTAATTAATCATTCAGAGAGCTTGACATTTTATTTTTGAATGTAAAATATGACAGAGTTCCGGACCTCGGTCACCTCATAGCTGGCTACGGCCATGGACTTGTAACATATTAGCACATCATCACAAAAAAGTTTGTTACCTTCTGCAATTTTGCTAAAAACTTTTTGCTTTCCTCCCGCTTCCTGCTTTTTCAGCACCGCTTGGGTAGCTTCTCTGTCTGTCACTCTGTAGCCTACACTGTCTGTCAATAACTTATTTTTCTCCGTCAGTTTTTTGGTGCATTAGCATTGTCACTTTCGCACGCAGAAAGTGAGATAATGGAATAGTCCAATGTAGTGAGGTAGGGGGGGCCCCTCCTGTCTGCGCCACTAATGATTTGATGCCTTTTTTTGCAAATGTTTTTTAGAAATATATAATTTGCGAAAAGTAAAAAATAAATAAAAACTTAAGCATAATTTAATGGGGTATTTTGGGGGCCCCTAGGTAGCTCGGGGCCCA